GCCCCTTATCAGACTGATTGGTGGGCCTGATGGATAGAGCTTCATCAGAGCTAAACAACAAAAAAAATCTGAAGCTTCTATGTTGAACACTGAGTTATAAGCATTTTTGTATGTCCAGACACCCCCTCTTTGAAAGGAGCCCCCTCCTCAAATATGAGGTCTATCGTAAAACCGTTGGCTGGCGCAGTGTAGGTCAGACTCTTCTACAGTCCTGCCAAATTTCATGTTGATCGGTGCAGCTGTTTTTGTGCTACAGTTGACCAAAAATCACCGGGGAAAAATAAATAAATAAATAAACAAACAAGCAAACAATATGACTCCCACTCACACTGCGCTTGCGGGAGTCATAATAAAGAAAGCAGCTGAAATTAGCAGAATGCAACTGAAAGAAGTACAAAAAGCTAAAATTAGCAGAAAGAAGCACGAAAAGGTAGAAATTAGCAGAATACCAGCAGAAATATAGCTGAAATAGCAGAAATAAGCTCAAATTAGCATACAAATAAGCTAAAAGTAACTTTTTTGTATGCTAATGCCTACCTACAATTTGATCTTTGGCCCCCAAATGGTACGAGGGCCTTAAAAATTTTAAAATTAGCAGGGAAAAAAAGTCATAAAAGTACAAAGAAAGTGATAATTTGTTGTAAAATAGCTGAACAGGCAAAATTTGCAGTAAAAACAGCTAAAATGTAGCTGGAAATTCTTTAATTAGCAAAAGGAAGCAAAAGGAGCACAAGTTTGCTTAAATTAGCATAAATAGCTCAAATTAACAGAAAGAAGCGCAAAAAAGTAGAAAATAGYAAAAGAATATCAGAAAGAAGCAGAATTATAGCTGAAATAGCAGGGAAAAAATGCTAAAATTAGCAAAAAAAGGAAGCTAAAATTAACACAAGTTAAAAAGAGCAGAACCAGAAGAAAAGGTGTAGATTGTAAAGGATTTTAAGGATGTTGAAAACAGCTCCAGTCATTTTCAATGGAAAAAAATGTGGCCAAAAAAGCTGAAATAGCTGAAATGCCAAAATTCACAGCCAGAATGCCCTGAAGGAGCTGAACGGTTTGATATATGAATTAGTTWGCCTTATAGCATATATGCCTAAGTCATTTGTGACCAATTAGTAGACCAGGAGAGCTAATCTTTGTTAAAATGGAGCAAAATTCACATTTGGCGACTGTAGTGGAGTTGTTAGGGGAGTCGTCCTGGAACCGGAAGGTCATCGGTTCGATCCCACATCCAGCTGTCTCAGTCGTTGTGTCCTTGGGCAAGACACTTCACTCGCCTTGCCTACCTACTGATAATGGTCAGAAGGTCCGGTTGCGCCGGTGCATGGCAGCCCCACCTCTGTCAGTGCGCCCCAGGGCAACTGTGGCTACAATGTAGTTTGCCATCATCAGTGTGTGAATGGGTAAACGTAAGTGTAAAGCGCTTTGGGGTCTTAAAAGGGACTTAAAAGCGTTTTATAAGTTCAGTCCATTTACCATTCACCATTTTGTGGTTTGAGTTTGGTTAATTTGTCAGTGAATAATAAAACATGTTTTTTAAAGTCTGTTAGAAAAGAAAAAGGGGGGGGGGTCATATTTTTCATCTGAAAAACAAAAACAGAAGTTATTAAAACTTACCAGCTTGGCGAATCTCTGCGCCTCGCTCACCCTCTCCACCAKCATCATCACTTCCTCCTCTTGAGTGGGAAAAGCAGGAAGTTTCTTTCCAATCAGACTTTCGATTCGCTGRAAGAGCTCCACGTCGTATCTGAAGGTTACGAGAAGTGTTACTTTGCTGGAGACATGGAAATAAAACAAATCTGATTTAAAAAGCAGATCCARTGTGTAAAAGTGAAACCATTTTTCTTACTGTGTGACAAACGTTATGGATTTTCCTGAGCGGCCGGCTCTGGCAGTTCGTCCCACTCTGTGGATGTAGTCCTGAAAAGGACAGACAAATTAATTTACTGAAAACATGTCAGAGATATAATCATAATAATCTTTAAGRTACCTTTGAATGAGTGGGGATGTCGTAGTTGATGACACAGTCGACATGGGGGATGTCCAGTCCTCTGGACGCCACGTCAGTTGCCAGCAGCACCGAGCGAGACTTGGACTTGAACTTGTTCAGAGCTCCGAGACGTTTATTCTGACCAACAGATAGAAGGAGATGCTGTGAACATTTGCTGTCTGCTTTTTATAAGTGAACTGCATTGTTTTACAAATTAAAATATTGCACTGAACGTGTCACTAGTTGAAACTAAAAGCAGCTTTTTCAGCTTAAGCAACATTTTCGCTGCTGGAGCAAAAACCACGAGAAACACGCAGCTGAATGCTCAGAGGACAGATATTTTCTGTCCAAGAGGTGAAAACAAAGAAAGCTCGACGTCAGCCGGTACCTGACTCATCTGTCCGTGAAGAGGGATGGCGGTGATGCCGAGGTTGCGCAACATCAGCGCCACCCGCTGGGCATTGTTGCACGTGCTGCAGAAAATGATGAAGGAGTTCCCGGCCAGCTCGTTCAGGATGGACACCAGGTAACAGTCCTGCACCCCACAAAAAAAATAAAAAATAAAAAACACCATTTCCAACTCAACCACAAAAACTACAAACATTAACAGAAGAAGGCTAAATAATCTGCAGCGTTTAATCCCAGATTATTTCACCAGAGACACTCTACCTTGTATTTAGATGGTATGAAGATGTAGTACTGCTGCAGCTTGTCTACTGTGGAGTATTTTGTAGATACTGCACACTTTACAGGATCTTTCAGAGCTGCTCGTTCTAGTTTCTGCACCTGTGAAGCCAACAGAAGAACATTAATGTTGCAAAATACAAACAGACCCTAAAACAACTGAYTGAGTCTCTTTTAACTTGTAGATCTGCATCATGACCTGAAGCTCAAACACCTGCAGGACTAGAAACACTGAGGCCACACGATGCAGCCATCACAGCTGAAATAAACTGGTGAAAATGAGCCACCTACTTTTTTGGTCATGGTGGCAGAGAACAAAAAGGTTCGTCTGTCTCGTGGAATGACCTTCAAGATTTTATTCACCTGGAAAAACAAACAAACAAATAAATTCTCAGTAAAAAGAAACGTTCTCAGAAGTGTCACTTTATAACATGGTGATACAACAGCACAAAACTGAAACCCAGAATTCCACTAAATGTCCTTTCTGTGAGTTTTGTTTCATTTATTTACCAACAAATAAATGATTCATAAAACTCTAGTTACATAAAGTGGCAGAAGACATTAAATCAAAATGAATGCATGAATAAAAATCCAGAGAAAACCCATCAAGTGTCACTTCTAAAAACACAGGATTCATTGCAAATGTTTCATCCCAAATGAGCAAAAATGAGAATTTTTGAGAAAAAAAAGGCACTTGAAACAAAATGGCTTTGTTATTTCTATATTAGAAGATTTTTATACAACTATTGTCCTACAAATAAWGTGAATTTGTTTTTATTTCAACATTTTCTCACTATCATAATACAAGTCTAAGAACTTGTATTCCGTGATAGCGGAAATAAAATCCTGAGCCTGAACTTTTTTCAAACCCGACCCCCACCCCTTATGTGATGATAATACCAACATATTACTACAAAAACTATTTAAGGGTGTATTCAGACCAGGAAAGTCCTTTGGTCCACTTGTTTGGTCCGGACCAAAAATGGACTTTTTTTTTTTCCGTTTGGTGCGGTTTGCATTCACATTGTGCTTTTTTGCAAATGAACTATAACTTGTAAACAAAGCCATGAGGCTGACGATCATTGCTCCCATTGGACA